TTTGGACAGTGGGGAGAAAAGTCTGCCACGTTTCTGATTCTCCCCCCATGAGCCTGTCACCCCTCCTCTGTTGTGCTTGCCACACCCGTCCCCTCAGAACCATCCCTATGGCCACTGTCTCAGTGTAGCCTACAGAAATAAAACCTTTCTTGTCTAGACCAATTTCCACCCATTTTATTGGATTCCTTCCACAGAAGAGTAAGGCATGCTGAGACTGGAGAGAAATCAGCTTCTTTTAATATTTCTTTACAAAGTCAAGATTAAGGTCTTATTCCCGAGAGATATGTGCTCCTGGTATTGTGCTACACATACAGTGTTTTAAGTGCTGGTGATGACAGCTTTCTGCTGCCACTCACCATGGCAGTGTCAGAATGCAGGACTACAAAGGACAGCTCCGACTTGCCGTTGCCGGTCTTGTTTTGTCTGTTTGGCATATTTTGACTTGGTTTGAATTGGTTTGGATTTGGGGATGTTGTATATGATTAAAACAAATTATTTACATTGTCTATACTTACAAACATGGTTAATAAGGGGTGTCTTATTAGAATCCACGTCTTTACAGTGCCAGCGACATTGAAGCTCTCTGAAGGGGGCAGGAGAAGCACAAAAGCTTTTCCCAGCACTTCTTACTACGGTTTTTTTTTCCTGATCCCGCTGAACAGGTTGTTATATTCTGTTCTTCCTCCATCTGTGGCCAATGAGCTGAGACACAAGCGTCCAGTGCCTGCCAAGAGATACGACAACGTGACCATCCTCTTCAGTGGTATTGTAGGCTTCAACGCTTTCTGCAGCAAGCACGCATCCGGAGAGGGGGCCATGAAGATCGTCAACCTTCTCAATGACCTCTACACCAGATTTGACACACTGACTGATTCCCGGAAAAATCCGTTTGTTTACAAGGCAAGTTCAGATCTTATCCTCACGCAGTTCTATTCAGTCTGAATTTTCAGATCCTGACTTCCAGAGGCATTGCGATCCCAGCTCCCTGGCTATAGTCCTGCAGCCTTGGGACACTCAGCCTCATGTATCCACTATTTACCATTTTCTTCAATAATCTGGTTTTAAACCTTACTATTCCTTGTAACTGAAACAAATGGAGCAGATCATTCTCTAGCTAAAATGAAATGTTCAGCAGCATATTTGCATTTACATCAGTAAGTCTGAACAGGTTGTTAGCTGCATGTAACATAAACATAACATTCATTTTAGTGCTTTGCAGGAGACATCTTTACGAATATAAATGCACTGCACGGTAAGGAAGTCCTAGGCCATGAGAAGGTTACTGCAGACTCAGATTTGCTTTAGATAATATCAACTAGAAGAGAAACATTTATAAGGCATTTCTGCCACTTGTTTCAATTAGAAATGCATGTAGTACTGGAAAAAATGCAGTCAGTGGAATATTGCTTCATAAAGGCAAGAATGTTAATCTACACCATCTCTTAGGTAACTGGAGCAGTATAAGTGCCACAAGGACCATTTTATATTCATTTTCTAAGGTACAATGTAACACTTGGTGAGCATATCATACAATAAATGTTAGTGATCATAATAAATCATTGAACTGCATAATAAATCATTGAACATGCCATCAGACCATCACTGTTTTAGGGGGAAACAAGGTAGTGAATTGTTTTACTGAGTTATATGGGTGTCCAGGTGAGACACCAGGAACTGCTGTAAGAAAAATAATGCCGTGTCTGCGCCTGCATCTGATCAAAGCCCTAAAGTGCCATGTACATATCAAATAATTAGAAGGTTGCCTCTGTTGGAGTTGAACGTATTCGGATTTAAAGAGAATCAAAGGGGAAAAAAGCTTAAAGTTACTAATAGCCTTGGAAAAGCACTTTTCATATAAGGGTGTCCAATGAAACAATCATGTTTATGCCAACTAACAAACATCTAAATGTCTGTGCTCTGTTAGGTGGAGACTGTTGGTGATAAGTACATGACGGTGAGTGGCTTACCAGAGCCGTGCGTCCACCATGCACGATCCATTTGCCACCTGGCCTTGGACATGATGGAAATTGCTGGCCAGGTTCAAGTAGATGGTGAATCTGTTCAGGTTAGTAAATAAAATAGATATTGTAATAGCAGTTGTAGACCTTTGTGGACAAAACTGATTCATTTTCTTGACCAGGAAATCATTAATTATGTACAAAGAAGGACATCTTGACAACACAGGCTGTAATATTTTATTGACTCACTGTATTGTTTTTTTCATAAGGATGGGAAATCGGTCCACCTGTTTGAAATTACCTAGTCTGTTCTCTGTACTGAAGCTGTGAAGATGAGATAAAACCTCCTATCCCTTTTGATTTATTTTTTACAGTCTCTTTCCTGTCTCTCCAATCTCATCTAAGTTGCCAGATTCACATCTTCGAAGTCTTCAGACTTTAGAAAAAGAATGTTTCTCTTGGAGGACAGATTTTCCAAGGTTTTTTATTTTTTCTGTAATATACTTGGAGTTCTTCTAGAGAATTCTTATGATGTTTTATATGATAACTCTACATTTTTATACAAAATAAAGTAAGCACAAATTAGCGTGTTAGTGATTGAAGTTATTGAAACAAAGCTTTGATTTCTGCAGATCACAATAGGGATACACACTGGAGAGGTAGTTACTGGTGTCATAGGACAGAGGATGCCTCGATATTGTCTTTTTGGAAATACTGTCAACCTCACAAGCAGAACAGAAACCACAGGAGAAAAGGGAAAAATAAATGTGTCTGAATATACGTACAGGTAAGAGAACACGTCTTGGTATTTACTGATTTGCAAGAAAAATGTCCCTTTGCGTGTGGCATTACTCTCCTAGTGATGATGTTACCTTTAAGCAGTATCGCCTCTACTTTAAGGATTGTTGGGTTTTTTTTGAGAATGTCATGTCATTATTTCCACTTTTAGTGATTCCATACCTTCTTAGGAATTCCAGAGATAATTATTGCTACTAAAACCTTGAGTTACCTTTAAATACTCACTGTCTTGATTTATACCTTTGGTACATGTCCCTTTCTCCATGCAACCATACTCCATACCCCTCTTCCTGTTCCCTGTCCCCTGCCTTTTAGATGTCTTATGACACCAGAAAATTCAGATCCACAATTCCATCTGGAACACAGAGGCCCAGTGTCCATGAAGGGCAAAAAAGAGCCGATGCAAGTTTGGTTTCTGTCCAGGAGGAACACAGGAACCGAGGTATGACGCATCAGAGCATAATTCCCTTTTTTTTAAGACAGAGTATAAATATAGGGAGTGACATCATAATTGCTGAAAGTATGTTTCATTTGAAAAGAATTCCTGCTTATAGAAATGAACTCTTAAGTAAAGCAGCGGAAATACTGAAACACTAATGAGCCGGTTAGAACAATAAACACTTAGGGGATATTTAATGGTTACCAGCTTTTGTCCTCTAATGAAATGAAAACCAAAAACACTAGATGAAGAAGACATGTTTCTGTTCCTCTGTGATCTGGTTCAGAAACGACTGAGGTGAGTGGGCTGTGCGGGAGCCCCTCGTCTCTTCCCTCAGCTCCCTAAGCTGTTGTGAGATCACCGTCATGGCCAAGTCAGCGTGCAGTTCACAGAGGCTTCACCACGAAGCTTCAGATCCTTCTAAGGGCCAAGCCAGCTCCCTGTGGAGTATTTGGAGACCTTTTGACATCCTAGTCCCTCCCGTGTTTTCCTAGAGAGAAGAGGAATTCATAATTTTCCAGAATTTCAGTGATTTTATAGGGAAGCTTTAGGCTCATACCAGCATAGGCTTGTTCTCAGCCCGAAGCCATGTGCCAGAGTTGGACCTCGGCCCTGGGGCACACCGGGGTCAGAACCAGCCTTTCCCTGCTCATGCTGTGCTGTGTCAGAAGCAGGTCTCATCCTTTGTTCCCCTGTTGATGTACTGGTTTGTTGCAGTGGTGAGACTATGTGATCATATTTCTTTTTCTGTTTATATACATTCTCTAAAAAATGCTTTTAGTGCGTAAGTCCTAAAAGGAATGGGATGACAAGTTTCAGAAAATGTATCTTAATCTTCTTTCTGCTGTTCTTACTTTAAAAAATTTACTCGTGGTGTTGGCATACTTACTGATAAATTAAACTATAGCTCCAATGTTGCACATCTTAGTTGGGTGGCCCTGTTTTTTCCCGGATTATGGTCACAAAATGACTTAGAAAAACTGTAGAAGTAAATGCAGCTCATACTTTCATAAAAATAAAGATGTTTTAAGGGGTACTGCAAGCTTTAATATTAGTGACAATTAATCCCCTGTTTATCCCACTTTCTGAAGGAAACCAAGCAGGACGAGAGCTGAATCTCGGCCTGTGGGATGAGGAGGACAGCAGGGCGCCCCTGACACAGATCACACCAGGGAGCAGTTACTCCCTATGGATATAGGTTTTGCTTTGTCCTTTTCGGTTAGCCCAAGCCTTTCTCTGGGTGTACCTTTCTTGATTCATTATTCAACTTTGGCTCTGCTTCCAATTAGTTTCAAAGTGTGATGTATTATCTGAAGTTTGGTTTTAGATGTGGATGATATGCGCTTCATTTGTCTTAAAATCTACTACAAGCATTACCTAACGTGGTAATTTGCAAGTAGTAGGCACCCAATCAATATTTGTTGAATTTAATTAAATGAAACTGAACAGTATTTGGCCATGCATAGGTATGCCATGGTTTACCAAATCTGTTTATTGCTCCATAGGTATATATATAATATATATATATATATGAGTATTTTAATGATTATAACATATAACAAAGTTTATACCATGTTGGTGTGTATCATTTTCTAAAGGAATGAACTCTGAGTTTTAGGGAAAAAATGCAATTTATTTTCCGACTCCCAAAGTAAGCATTAATATACCATGCTAAGAAGATAGGGACTATTTCGGATTATGCTCATTTCCTTTCAGAAATATGCAATATACTTTTCTGTCATTGAAACATTTGGTTGCTTATTCAAATCATGGGACAACTACAGTTCCTCTAAAATGCTATCATTTGTATTGTATTCCTTGTGCCAAATATCATTAACCACACACAGCTGTTACAGAGAGCTGTGTTGGTTCACTATGAGCTGTCACATTAGCTTGGGATAAATGTTGGAGGCTCTGACCACATCCAAGAATAAAGCTGGAAACCCTGCTGGAATGCTCCCATTAGTCAGAGCCATTCCTGGCCTTTTATTTCCAGAAATTAGCTGCTTTTTCTTAGCTTAGGAGAATGTGATTATATCCAGGGTATCATGTTCAGAAAAGTTACTTTAATTTTACGTAGAATGCATTTCTATAGGAATGATTGTCCTGTTGTTCTTAAATATCTCTGATAATTTATTAATATCTTATCTTTATAAAATACAGTCCAACTACTTTTGTGTAAAAATGTTTGTCTTTAAATTTAGTATTTCATATCAGCACATTGATATATATGTATAAATGATCCATGTTAATGTAGAAGAGAATCTGCAATAAATTATTGTTTCCACTTGTCTCTAGACAAATTTTTATTTCAATAAAAATGTTATTAATGTTTTTATTGGTCATTGTTATTAATGTTATTTTTGTGAATACATTTTATAGTCTTACCTGTCAGAAGCGTTAAACTGACTTTGAGTCACAGGTGTTACAAAGTTGAATGGCCCATGTTAGATGGGCATATTCTCAAATGCTGTTTTTCTTTAGTATCAACAAAGTGTCAGAAGCAAGACTAGACCTGGAGGGGGTGGATGCTCAGGTCAATATGAAATGACATCAGTCAACTGACTGTCTTTTCGGGGTGAAAAACATGTATAAAAAAGTCAAAATATGTGGTATTTGTAGTGATAAACCATTCTCAAGATACAGAATAAATACTTAGAAAAAGAGAGACAAGAGGACAAGATGGGGTGGAAATAGGAGGAAGCAGTTGGGTTTTTTGATGGTCTAGTTCAAAGATGAATTACTGCAATGGAAGTAAAGATTGGCATCTCTTCTAGTGGCCTATGCTTCTTGTCTCTAGTTTATTTAATCCTCACATGCAGGATGTGTTTTGTTCATGGCATTTGCTTTGCCTAAAGTTATTTTGCTAATTTCTAAATTCAGTGAGCACTAATCAGTCTCTCTGTTACATTGGTGCTGATGACTACTTTGTGGGTTTGTTTTTATTCTCTTGTAATTGTTTCTGTGAAATTATTTCTCAACACTTTTTGTAAGAATTTTAAAACATAAAGAAAATTTAAAGGAATTGTACAGGGAACAGACATACACCCACTGCTACTACTAATCCCAGAATATTTTCATTACCCCAAAAAGACACCCTGTAACCATTAACAGTCACTCCCAATTAACTGCTTCCCTCAGGCCCTGGAAACCACTAACCTAGTTTCTGTCTGAGGGTTTGCCTATTTTAGGCATTTCATATAAATGAAATCATACAATATGTGGTCTTTCTATCCGGCTTCTTTCACTTAGCATAATGTTTTCAGAGTTCATCCATGTGGTAGCATTTAGTCAGTATTTCATTACTTGTTATGGCTAAATAATACTTTTTATGTACATTTACCATGTTTTGTTTATCCATTTATAAATTGATAGAATTTGGGTTGTTTCTACTTTTTGGCTGTATGAATAATGCTGCTATGGGCATCCCTGTGCAAGATTTTGTATGCATATATGTTTTCACTTCTCTTGCATGTATAGCTTAAAGTTCAACTTCTGGGTCCTATGGAACTCTGTTTCACTTTGGGAGGCACTGCTGAACTGTTTTCCCAAGTGGTTGCACCATTTTCCTTTTTTACCAGCAATGTGTGAAGGTGGTGATTTTTCAACATCCTTGCCAGTACTTGATATTATATGTCCATCTTTCCTGAAAGTAGCCATCCTGGTGGGTATGAAGTAGCACCTCATTGTGGTTTTGATTTGTATTTCCCTAATGACTAATTACATTAAACATCTTTTCATGCAGTGACTGGGCAGTTATATGTCTTCTTTGGAGAAATGCCTAGTCATATTTCACCCATTTTCAATTTGTTTATTTAATTTTTAATTGTGCAGTTGTAAGAGTTCTTAAATTCTGGATACTAGACTCATCAGATAAACAATTTGCAAATACTTTCACCTCATCTATGTGTTTTTTTGTTTGACTTTCTTGGTAGTTTACTTTGAAACTCAAAGGTTTTTAATTTTGATGAAGTCCCAATTTCTCTATTTTTTCTTTTGCTGCTTATGTTTCAGATATCATATCTAAGAAACCATTGCCTAATCCAATGTGACAAATATTTACACTTAATGTTTTATAGTTTTTAGGCTCTTACATTTAGGTATTTGATGTGTTTTGAGTTAGTCTTTATATATGGTGGCCCTACGGGTCCAAATTCATTCTTCTGCTTGCAGATGTCCAGTTGTCCTAGCATTGTTTGTGAAGAGTCTATTCCTCACTCATTGAATTGTCTTAGCACCCTTCTTGAAAATCAGTTAACCATAAATTCTGCTTTCAATTTTCTTCCATTGATTTACATCCAGTCTTTTGATACTACTGCATAGTCTGGTTTATGTAGCTTTGTAGGAAGTTTTGAAATTGAGAAATATGAGTCCCCCAACTTTGTTTTCTACCAGCTTCTTAAGTGTTGATGTTCCTCAAGATTCCTCCCTCATTTCCTTTAATGTTCTCAGTTGTTGAATCTATTACTATTAATAATCATGGTAATAGCTGTTGCAGCTTTGTGCAAAATTTAATTTCTCCACTTTGTATGATTTATTTCATCAACATCCTAACCTAAGAGTATGTTTTATTTTTTAATAAGCTATTGTATTTTGTCTGTTAACATCTCACGTAAGATTTTTGCATTCTTTTTTATGAGAAAGACTAGTCTGTAGTTTTATATATTTTGATGTCTAACATTTGCCTAAAATTTTTCTGGAATAGGTTAACATTTTCATTATCTGATCTTTAAAAGTTTGGAAAAAAAAAGTCCCTATGAAATTGTCTGGATTAGATTTGTGTGTGTGTGTGTGTGTGTAAAAGCTCTTTAATTATTTTCTATATTTCTTCTTTCTATGTTTCTTCTATATAATTTCTTGGTAATTATCTCTTTAGACTTTTTAACTTTATTAGAGTTAACATTATTAGTAAGCTTTTTTAAAAAGAAAATTATCCATTTCATTCAGATTTTTAAATGTATTTAATAGACACACAATACAAACCTGTATAACATACAAAAATTTTTCTCACTTTTGAAGATTTCCCCCCAGTGTTTTCCCGTTTTTAGCTTAAACCTGCTGATTCGTGATTTCATGTTTCAATAGAACTGGTTCCTGGGTTGGTTAATTAGTTTAACTATTTTCTATTTTCCAACTTTTTCATTTCTGCTTTAATTATTATTTTTCCTTTCTTCTTTTCTTATTTAGTTTTTCTTTGTCCAACTTTTTGAGTTATATGCTTATTTTAAGAATTGAATATTACAAAATTCCATCTGATAAAAGCATTTGAAAACATTTTGATATATCATGTTTTAGCTACCACTTTTTTAGGAATACTCTGATTTTACTAGGTATTCTTTTATTCCAAGATTTGTTTAATCATGTGTTTTTAATTTCTTTTTTTTTTTCTAGTTGTTGTGTCCTGATCAGTATAGATTCTATTCCTAGCAACTTATTTTATGGTTAGGTATTTATCCTGGAAAGGAGAACTTGTTGGTTATTTCCAGATATCATAGACCTATCGTCTTCAGACTTCACTCTAGTCTCCTTACACAGACTCAACTGCTTTCTGTACTGCTTTTTCTATAGAATGATGTCCCGGTTTTGGTTGCCACAGACTCACATTGGTCCACTGAGCTTTCTGGTATGTGTTTGTGGTGTCTGGATTCTCCTGTTATCAGCACCATTAGTTCTCAGCACTATTTCTTCCTACATAGATAGCTGTACCACCCGATGATTTTAGCTCTCAGCAGTTCCCAATCTATAGATTTGAGGTATGTATAAAATAACAATTAAATGATTTTAGTTTTGGTTTAGGCATCTCATCTGTGGGTTTTCAGCTTGCAATTTTATTTGTCATGCCTGTTTTACAGGAGATTCATGAAGATTAAAAAACTACTGTGGCACTGTAGAGTTCCAGAATCCATCATATATTTATCAAACATCTACTTGTGGCAGGCACTGTTCTCGGTGTTTGAGATGCATCAAAGAACAAAGCACCCCTACATGTGAAGAGCTTACTTCTGGTTTTTACATCTTGACTATTTTAAAAAATCTCTTCTACTTCAGGCACTCACCATCTCTAACCTGAACAATTATAAGATGACTCCTTATAAATTTTTCTACTTCCCATGTTTCCCCTCTCCATTCCACGCTCCTTGATTCCTGACTGAGTGATGTTTCACAAATCCAAATTATTTTCCTGCCTAAAATCACTTAACCTGGTATTCATTGTCTCCACATCTCAGTAAGGCGTACAAAACTGTCACCTTTACCAACCTCATCTGTTAATTCCTACCCGTGGAATTTCGCTCTGCTCTGAAATGCCCTGTACCCTTCCTTACTCTGCTGGCAGACTCTTCCTATTCTCTCTGGGACTCAGTTCAGTATCGTCTCATTGCACATTTCCCAGGCAAATGTAGTTCTTCCTTACCTCACTGTTCCACATACTTACGCTGGTGAGCACATTATCTGCTTATATATCAGCTTCCTTACTAGGCTTTGGGTTTCTTAAGGCTAAAGGGTTCCATTTTCCCTAGATTTATCCCTTGAACCTGCCACAAAATGGGCATTAATGATTTGTTGACTAAAGAATCAAGAAAGCAGTCTTTTCAAGTGATGGGGCTAGAAACCAGATATGAAGGGAATAAGAAATGAGATTGAAAAAAGAGATGAGACAAAAATACTTTATAAAGTGACAGTCAATATGTGCTTGGAGGAAATCGTGGTGTCATTGGTGTAGGGGCTGATTGAAAGTGAGAAGAACCTGGACTGAGAAGGGAATTTAGGGCCACACATGGTTTGTGTATGAGCCTGCTTTAAAGTGATGAAAGGACAGAAGACTGAGGAGAGATCAAAGTTCGAAGTACATCAGAGCTCAAGGAGCTGAGAAGGTAGGAGCCTGGGGCTCTGCTCTGATTGGTGGGTAATGATGGTACTATTACATTGGATGGAGGACAGAGAAGAGTAACTGTGTTTAGGAGAAAAGATAGTAAGAATAGTATTAGATGTATAAATGAGCTTGAAATTCTTGTGAATGTATCTAAAAGATATAATTATTCTCTCCAGGTGACAATATGTGTGTAAAGAGAATAGACCATTATTTTGTTTCAAGTTGGGCCAGCCTAGTTTTGAGTTTCCAAACATTGTGTTACTGGCTTTAAGCAGAAATATAGGCTTGCCCTTTCAGAAATATTAGAAAGATAATCTAAGAAATGCAGATATGTGAATCCTCAGAAACATACTGTTAAAGCTAATTCATGGACAGCACAAGTCTTGAGAAGACTAGTGGATCAACAAGGAAAACCACTGAATGCATTTTAACTTTGCAGACTACTGAACAAATTAGAACCAAATGTT